CTCATCGTCATCCGGCACCTCATACTCCTGGAGGGGGGGGGGCGGTGCGCATCGGGCGCGGGGTGGGGAGGGTACAAGATGAGGGTCCATTCTCAAGGTGGGAAAGGAAGAAACATGGTGTGTGGTTGAGGAGACTCAGGGGGGACGGGGCAGCTGCCAAGTGTGTGGCCCTTGGGGCCTGCACAACGCGGTGCGGTTGGCCGCTCAATCGCGTCCAAGCCCTTGTCCACGTCATGTGACCTCCGCCCCAACTCTCACGCCAGCGCACAACACAGGTCGGCCCAACCTCGCAGCAAGCGACCAGATCCTGCTGTCCCACACAATGCCGCCTTTGGCGAGCCAAAACACGTATGCCCCGCCTGCATCGCCCCAGACGCAGCCGCTAGCAGCCCATTGACAATCGATGCATGCAGCACCCAGCCCACTCGTTGGTAGTTGATGTAGCCCTGCGTCACCCCCGCCGCCGCCGCCGCGCCGCCGTACCCCGCTGCCCCCGTGTTGGCGCGCCGCACGCACTTGAGGTAGCGCCCCGTCAGCAGCTGCAGGCGCGTGCTGTTGAGGGTCGGCAGGGGGATGGCCTGGACCGTGCGGAAGGCGCTGTACAGGGCGCCACCTGGCGGGGATGGGCGGTGTGCGTGTGTGTTGTGTGTGTGTGTGTGGTGTGGTTGTGTGTGTGTGTGGTTGAGGGTTAGGGCGGCATGGTGTGTGTGTGTGCATGCGCGTGTGTGTGTGTGTGTGTGTGTGTGTGTGTGTGTGTGTGTGCATGCGTGTGTGCGGACTCGCAGGGATTGGGAGACGGAGGCAGGGAGGTGAGGGGAGTGGGAAAGGAGAGATGCGGGGGGTTCACTCGGGGCAGGGCCCGGCGAGGCGTGACGGTGCCGGGTTCTAGCAATGGCCCGACGCCTGGGTGCACCAAGGGCGAGAGTCGGTTAAAGGATGCACGTGCGCGTGCAGTCGGCGCATAAGGCCACACACTCACGCGCACGTATGCACAAGTGCGCGCGACCAGTCGCGCGCACGTGCACACTCAACCTCACACCACGGCTGCACCAGTGATGCATGAGAGCACACATGCGTGCTTGACACATACTACGCGCGAGCTAAAACACAGCTCGTGCCCGCCCACCTGCCAGCAGGCTGAAGGAAGTGAGCGCCAGAGGGGCACTCTGCCCGATGTAGGCGCATATGGACACCCCCAGGGCCGTCCCAAACAGCGACGCAAAGATGTACTGGCTCGTGTTCTTGGCGGTGATGTCTGCGCGATATCATCGGGGAGGGAGGCGACAGCAAATCTCAGGAACGAGGCAGCAAGAACAGCCCAGGGCCGCCCAAGACCCACGCACCGGGTGCAACTCCAGGCCCCGCATCACCCTCGGCGCCCGCCGCCCGCCGCCCCGCCGTCCTTCCAGCCTGCCAAATACAAACGCCTGCCTTCCCCCCTATTCACCAGCAGGCCTCTGCCACCCGGCCGCCTGCCCCTCCGCAGCGCCCCGCCGCCCTCGCCCCCTGGCCCCAGCACAGCCCCCGCCGCCCGCCCGCCAGCCAGCCAAGTCACACCCCAAGCAGGCCACTGCTGCGGCAGCCCCAGAGCTGCCGGCCCCGGCCCAGGCCCCCCGGCGCACACCCGCGATGTTGTTGTCCCGCACAAAAGACAAGTTGAAGACGCTGCGCGTGCTGCCGCCCGCCATCCAGCTCAGCCCCTTGATCATGTTGGCGCATGAGCCAAGCACCAGGAAGGCGTTGGGCACCAGGATGGTCGCGATCTCCATGCCTGGTCGAGAGTTCAGGGTTTTGGGGATGAGACGCGAGGGAGGAACAGCGGCGGAGGCGCCCGTGGCCGATCGACGGGCGTGCAAGAGCGCGCCCCGGCGGGCGTCGCCGGGTGCCGGGCGCGCCCTGGCGGAGGCCGCCGAGGCAGGCCGCAGGCTGCAGGGGCGGACGTGCCGGGGCACGGGCCACGGCCGCCCGCATGCGCCGCAGCGCACGCACGCATGCGCGTGCACGTGCGCCCACACTCGCCTGTGGCGGAGCTGAGCAGCACGAAGGAAAGGAAGTACCATGATTTGGAGTGGATGTCAAAGTTGTGGGCGATGGCCTTGGCAAACAGCAGGGTGCCCAGCTGCAACGGTTTTAGCGGTGGTGGGGCCGCGGCGGCGAGGAGTGTCTCGGCATGGTGTTTGGGATTGAGGCGAGGCAGCGCCGGGGGCGCCCCGTCGTTCAGGGCTGCTGCTGCTGAAGCAGCGCCGCCATGACCGCCGCCGCCGCTCCTGCCGCGACCGGGCAGGTTGGCCCAAGCCCCATCGCGGCGCGCCCTCCGGCTGGCGCCACGGCCGCGACGCTGCCGCCGCAGCTACCGCCGCTTTGTGTTGCCAGAACGACCCGCCCTCTCGCCAGCCCAGGTATCACGCGCTGCCCCCGCCGGGCCTGCGCCGCAAGCCCCCTCAAATCGCTGGGCGCAAAACCCCCCTCGCCCCGGCCCCCGCATGCAGCCCCAAGACAGCAGCCGCCGCCCTCCCGACCGCCCCATCACCTGCCCGAGGCCGTCCTTCAGCACCCAGTTCAGTGCGCCCGCAGTGGGGATCGCGCCCGCGCCGAGGCCGACTGCATACAGAAGAAACGTCGACGCCAGCACGCCGTTTGCGGTGGTGGCGACGTTTGTGACGGCCTGCCACAACGAGTACTGAAGGTAGTGGGGGCCGACGCTGCCCGGGTAGCCGCTGGGGAGGAAGGTGTTCTGCAGCTGCTTCGACATCCGCCGCAGCGCGAGCTGCGCCGCGCCGCTGCGCGCGCCGCCGGCGCGCGGCGGGCCGGCGC